TGAATATAAATGATGCTTTTGTTTGGGGTGAGGAAGTAGTGGGAAGTTGGGTTTTCTCTGGTCAAGGCAAAGAACTATCCTACTAGTAATGGAGATGGATGGACAACAAAGATTAGAAAAGATAAGGGAGAGAATGAGAAAATACAGGCAAAAGGTGAGAGAGGCATGTGATAATGGATAATCTTTATTGTCAAGAATTGTGATAAATTTTATGGATCTGACTATTTTTTTTTATAAAATAATGAAAAGATTTCAAAGATTTTTTTGGCAAAATTTTGTTAAAGCTGTATATATTGATGAAGTTTCTTCTTTTGTATCCATTAGAAATTGGTTTGAATGATTTGCAAATATTTATAAACAAGTTTCTTTGTTGAAAGAATGTAGGACTTAAATTCCTCAACAGTCGTAATAACCCTTGCCACATGTAAAAATTCTTGCCATTAGTAATATTCCTTGTTGGAAATAACTTATATCACCACAAAGTGAGGAATCTCCCTTCATTGAAACAGTACTGAGCTTTCATTTCCTTGTAAACATTGTTTTTAAAATTTTCATATGTTGCAACCTCCATGTATCTGTTTTTGGAGTTCTGGTGATGTATTGGCCTCATTTGAATGCAATTTTCTTAAACATATCCATTTTGGTAGGGGAGGCAGTTAAAAAGACATCCTCAGACCACAATGGATTACAAACAAAATCATATATGAGATACAACAAAATAAGTATAGAAATAAATAATAAATTGCTTTTATATACATTTCAGAGAAATGATTATATATTTTAAAGAACATATACAGAAATAAAGAAGTTTTGCTTATCTGTTGGTGGCAACATGTTTTATCAGAGAACTGTTCAGGATCTCTGCCTCCTTTGACCATTGACAAATAAAGAGAGAAAGTTTCAATTTCTGCTTGATTTGGCATTAAAACACTTGTTCTAATGCACCATGGGAATATTCTATATTTATTTAACTATTTTTTTATAATCTAACATTTTCTTTCTTTATGGCTAATGACCATTCTTATCTGTATTTAAAGTATTTTTGTTGCTTAACTTTTAATCTTTCTTTTATTATAAATTATTTTGGTTCCAGACTACTACATAGTCTAGTAATAAAGGCTAGGGGTTATTTAGTAATTTATTTGTTGTGGTCACTAGATGTCTAAATCTGAAAAAAATGCATACTCTCTGTGCATACACACCACATGGTCACACTTTTCTCATTGGGTGTGATAATGAGTTTCTCCCTTACAAAGAATTGAATAAATGTAAAGGATTGTCTTGGTAAGGAATTTCACTTATATCATTTATTTAGAATAGATTTGCAGATAATTTTTAGATTTTACTTTGCCAAATAATTAATTTTTTAAAGAATTACTTGTTGTATTTTCAGACATAGAATATGCTGAACCTGTAATAGTCTTTAAGAGATGATCTTTCATCACAGCTAAAAATAGAAAACCTTTTCCTTCTTTTACCGCCAAAATCTGTCTGATATTAGAATTAGTGTTCACTTACCCACTAGAGAGGCCAGTAGGAGATTTGATTCTCAATACAACAGACATAAAATTGTGACTACTACAACTCCCCCCAGCCCACAAAAACAGTCTCTGAATCTCATCACTGGTTTACACAGTTTAATCCTCAGAAGAATTCAAAACTGATATATTCAGTTAAGTTAAACAAAAAATGAGAATAAACAAGTAATCATAATACTAAAATATTTATAGATTGTGTCACATATGACAATTTAACACACACCGAACAAAACACATCCGTAAATTTATTAACATCACTAATTACATGGAAGGGAATATCATCTCAACTTAATATCCTATTGTGTTTTCTGTTACATGTTTTGCCTCACAATTCATTTTCAGCATTAACCCAGAAGATTTCTCTGCTATAATTTGGAGCCAGATAGTTAAAATTATAGTAACTAATTATGCTATTTCTTTTACTTCTACAAGAAAAAACCCACACTCACAATAGTGGTAACCCCTTAATTTGCAGTGGTGACGTAAACTAACAATTGTTTCAAACTTAGGGCTGTCCAAATGTAGTTAGAATATTTTTAATATATTTAATAATGTTCAAAATAATATATATATATATATATATATATATATATATATATATATATATAGATGGAAAATAACAAAATCAATCAATCCAAAAACTGTAAAATGTGCCTGGAGAAATAAATGGTCATAATTACCTGACCAGACCAAAACAGACTACAAAATAAATGATCAAAACTCATCTGAAAATGCAGACATAAAAACAAATCTTTACAATGCTACTTAAAAATCAAAAACTGAAAATGAACAAGAATAAATGAAAATAAACAAAAAGAAGTATAATAAATTAATCTGTACAAATAAATACGTCAATAAACTAATTAAATAATAAACAAATTAACAAACCACACCTACCAAAATAACTGTTTGAATAATACAATAGACTACCCACAATGCAATAGACTAGGCACAATGCATCACTGATGTGTATATATAAAAAGTCGAGCAAAAACAAAATGCCCATGGCCTGACAATTGCGTCTAGCATGAAACAGACTATTGCCTCTGTCTGATGACGTCAATGTCCACTTTTATATTTGAATATGCTCTATCCATGATATTAAGCACTTTAACCCATATATAGAGCATACCTTAAAACTATATATATATATATATATATATATATATATATATATATATATGTATGTATGTAAGTATGCGTTTTATTTCAAATGCTATTTTTAGTGGATACCTGTATTTGAAATACATGCATCATTTTCAATTTTAAATAGTGTTTATTACATCTATTGAGGTATCTTAAAGAAAATGGGCTCTCTCAAGTGTGTAGGCCAATAGATATAGCACACACGGTTTAACTAAAAATAATATTTGAAGTAATAAAAACGGTAGATTAAAAATAAACCCATTTATATATATATATATATATATATATATATATATATTAAATAACATATTTTCTACTTAGAATGGTATAAATCTATGTCACGCTGTAGTTGGCATTTTTATGATATTTTTGCCAAAATACAAAGTTTCCATATCAGTTCATCAAGTCAAAGTGTCCAGTTCCTGCAGTTATTAAATGAAAAAAAAAAAAAAAAATTCAAAGAAATTTCTCTCTGACAAAAAGAGGACTCTCCATTAAGGTAAAATAAATGTGATATCGTAAGATAGAAATTTCAACACAGGTGAAGATGATCAGTGAAAAGTGATTCAGGTTATTTGATTTGAATCAGCAAAATTTTACCTGATTTGAATCAGCAAAGTGAAAAAGAAAGAAAGAAACTTCAGCTTAAATTTGTCTTTCTGATTGTAGTGCTGTTTTTTTTTTTTCTCAACAAGAATTAACATCCGTCACTTACCTGAAAAAAGAAATAACAGACAATATAAAATCAGTGAAAAAAAAATAAAGGGAGATAAATCAGGCAACACAAAAAATATAGAAATAAAAAGAAGCAGAAAATAGTGCAAGCAAGATCACCACTGAACAAATAATTAGAAATCCCCTAACATTTATATATAGAAAAATACTAGTAGGTTAATATGGATAGATAGGTATGGACAAAATTAGATAGATCACAAACAGATAGATAGAGAAAGACTGAGATTAAATACATAGCTCGGTATGGACTGAAATTGATAGGAAAAGACTGAGATATGGAATTAGATAGACAGATTGATAGTAGATAGGAAAATATTGAGATAGATATGGACAGAATTAGATAGATATGAACAGACATAGATAGGTAGACAGATAGATACGGACAGGTTGAGATACATAGATAGATAGATACGAACAGGTTGAGATACATAGATAGATAGATACGAACAGGTTGAGATAGAGAGGAAAAGACTGAAATTAATATATATATATATATATATATATATATATATATATATATGAACAGACTGAAATATATAGATATAAACAGACATAGATAGGTAGACAGATAGAAAGATAGATATGAGCAGACTACATCAGATAGATAGACAGGAACAGGTTGAGATAGATAGATACGAACAGGTTGAAATACATAGATAGATAGATAGATAGATAGATAGGAAAAGACTGAGATTAATAGTTATGTTCAGTTATTTAAAGACAAAATAATTTTGGATTATAAGAATATTTCTTTTTTTTAGTGAGTGAATATTACATGAATAATTTTTTTGAGATAACAACAATTTTTCCAGATATAAGTTCTACTATTTAAGCCATAGCTTTGGGGAGTGATGGATTTATACTTTTTCCAAAGGATATTTGTGCATCAATAAATGTAATGAACTTGACTTGAATTTGAACTTAACTCTCTGATTTCTCATTCTGAGACTTTATCCATCAGAAACAATTCTATGGTGATAGAGAAATAAATATAAATAATTAACAAGATCAAAATTTAACCATCTCTAAAATTAGATGGATAATAAAAATCACCAGGCAAAAAACCTTAATTCAATCAACCAATTAGAAAGATTTTACAACCAGGATATAGGCCGTGAGCCAATCTCTAGATGTATATATAAACAGATGGAAAATCAACCAAAATCAGAGTTGATAAATTAATTTTATCCTTTCTCTGATGCTGTGACCATTGTAAAATTCCCAGAGACAAAATACATTTGCATGGCTGGCAAATTTAGACAGCTAACCTGTCCTTGCTACAGTTGAAAACAAATATCCTTCACCACATGTTCAAGTAGCGTCTGCTACATGTGGATACAAACAAACTCTTGAAACTTTAACTTTTACCAAATTCTTCTGTATTATTATTATATAAAGATTTATTTTGTATTTTCAACACCATACATTTTCTTTTAATCATTAACTGAAGACAATATACACCCAAACCCTTTATACCTTCCTATGGAAGTAATGGATGTTGTCAAAAGATAACCTCCATGATTCTAGGGGGATCAATTTATTGCTTCTTAATAACAGAACACTAATGGCTTACCACCAAATCATGTTGGAACACCTGTTCTCATATGATCACTAAAGGTAAGCAACATTGAACCTGGTTAGTAGTTAGATGAGTGACCACTTGGGAATACCAGGTGCTGTAACTGTGGATATGCAGGTGATGAAAGGGGTGAGCCAGGTTCCAATTCCAGTTGGGTTCGTTATATTCACTTATATGCAAATACCCATGGGAAAGGCATGAATCCACCTTCTCTCCATCCAGTTATGTGTTAATTGGTAGGCCTTGTATCAGTAAATCATTATTATCACTAAAAAAATCTAACAGTCTAAAAATATTGTCTGGCTTTATATTACTTACAAAAGGTTGATAAGCCATAAAAAACAAATCAATCAATCAATAGAAAAACAATCACCCACTTCATATTCACTACAATCTAAACTAAGAATCTAGGCTGAAGTTATAGACAGCTTGCTGCTTCATGGATATTGCTGGTCTGATGCTAAAATCTGCCACTCAAAGCAATTTACATGAGATCTGCAACATTCCAGTCTAATAAACTATTCAATATTCAGGCCTACCCTTGATCGGAGTGGGTGATGCATTTCTACATGAACCATAATTGGATAATCCTATGCTCTGCTCCAAATTTGGTTAGGTGCTTCACCCAACCCCCTCCAGATCTAATCTACTGTTCATGAATATATCGTCAGTGTTTTTACCTGCTTATAATTGGATAGTTCTTCATCCCAACAAAAATTTGGTTAAGAACTTGAATCTAGCCAAGGAAGCATGATTGTATGAGATTATGTTGATTGGATGATCGTATCATATAGTGTGGGCCACCCGGATTTTCATTCCAGCCAACCATTTCAGAGTTATATAGACAAGGAAAATAATGGTATATTCATCCTCTGAGAAAAGAAGCACCTTATTATAATTGCAAAAATGGATTATATGTCTAAGCAGGAATATTTATGAATAAAAATAAGAAAAAGAAAAATGATTCTGAATGATTATTTTTCATAATATTGATTGACAGTATTTGTACTATATATATATATATATATATATATATATATATGTGTGTGTGTTTGTTAGGGTTATGACTTTTTGTAAAATAATTGATTTCCTATATCATAATTCGATGAACTTTTGTTCATAAATTATCAAAAAATGTCACCCCAACATGAAATTTTTTAAATCATATATAATCTTAGTAGTACTATGACTTTCTGGAACGTTCTAGAATTTGTTTTTGTTTATTTGAAAGTTTGTATGTTATGCTATATCTATAAACTGTTAAATGCAGTAAAAAGTGCATAGGTACTATCCAATTACATCATTGGTGAATTGAAAAATAAAGCATCTGAAATATTTTTATTTTTTACTACTGTATGGTAGGCAAATGAAAACAAGAAAGTATTTCTGGTGAGGCTGAAAGAAAAAAGAAGACAAGAATTTTAAAGATAAAATTCTTTGTATTGCTGATATAGAGGATCAAGACAAGAAGTCTCTAAGTGGGTGAGGGAAGTGACCTGGAGGATGGGGGATTTGGTAGTAGTGAGTGGTTTCAAAACTTGTGTCAGTTAACTGAGGCCACTGTGATTTCTATGACAACCTGTCTATCTACTTTGTTGTCTACCCTGTGACTGATCTTGAGTCATGAACAATGTCCTTTAAAGCATTCATGGTGGATACATGACTCAGTGTTTTTGTCATGCTTTTGCTTTAGGAAAAATATTTGTGATTATTTCTTTTTTAAATTGTATTTTATATTTGGGAGGTAAATTTGTTTTGTGAGCTGGATGTGATGATCAGAGCCTCTGTGCAGAAAGCAACTTTTTCAATTATCTTTAGTTTTGCTTTAATAGCATTCACATCTAGCCGAGAGGTTATGATGTGAAGTGAATCAGAAAAGGCAGAGTATAACAGTGATATTCTCATAAGGGGTGTGTAGTTTTGCTGACTTTCTCTGAATGTGGATATTCTTGCAAGGATAAGGGAAACTTCCTGTCTTTTCTCTCTTTGGTGGGACACTTATATATCTTTCCACATGTGCTTATCCTAATTGCAGCAGTTTGGTCAACCACTTGTTTACATGTTTGGTGATATGTTGAGAGGTGTGAATCTACAACTGGTGAATAGGGTTCACCTTTCAGGACAATGCTTTGTGTACCTGGTTTTTCTGATGTTCTGGTACTTTTTTATTTCTTAGGGTGATTCCACTACAGTCACCTCCAGATTAAATTCACAGTGAATAAAAGTTCCTTATTGATATTTAATTTGATTTGGTCTGGTTGTGCTTTGCATGAATCACACACTACAGAAATATTTTTTTTAAATTTCACATTTTAAAAGATCTAAAAGTTAAAGAGATAATCAGACTAAAGATAATCTGATGTGTTTTTCTTTCATCTCCATTGATTCCCCTGGCTTTTCTTTCACCCACTTTTCTTTTCATTTTCCTCTTGCTTTCTTTATTACCTTCTATCTTTTCTCTTTTATACCTTCCTTTCTAAAATACTTTCATCATCATTTTGGCTTTTTTTAATTCTCTTTTCACTGAAAAAAGAAGAGATAGGCATTTGATGGCTAATGATAAAAAATGGCTTTCTTTGAATGAAGCCTGCAGGTCTTAGTGAGGACTATCTGTACTAAATCACAGAAATTGCAAGGACTTTCAAAAGTGGCAACAACTAAAATGGATAGCACATGTAACTCAAATCAGGATGTTGATGTTCCACACGACTTCAAACTAAAGGTTAGGAAGGAAAGAAAGTTAAGAAGAGGGATAACAGTTAGTGGGCTTAGGAAACGTATTTTCCTAAAAAAAGTTTTAATAGAAAGATTGGCTGCTTGGTCAACAAATGCTGAACATTTCCACATAAGAAAACAACTAATATTACCATTAGAAATGAAGAACACAGATACTACATTTTGATCCTTTTCATATCAGGTGCAGTCACTACACAGATTTTACTCTAGTGCACAAAACAGGTGACAACTCAATTCAATTATTTCTTTCAATTTGCCACCCAGCATGGTGCTTATTTGGTATAGAATGCAAGTTATTTTTCAAATAATTTTCTCCATGGCATGATTATTCAGTTCCATGTTTATTAAACTTATATAAAAAAATTTCTGACAGAATATTTATTTGAATTGGCACTCTTGTTTTATTAGTTGAAGAGTCCCCCACTGATATGTCTATTCTAGACCAATGTTACTGAAAGTGGTGGTCTGTGGATTGGTGCCAGTACATGAGCCATCAGCTACTGGTATGCAGCCAGTGTCTAAGCCATGCTAAGGAATCATTTGAAGCTTATTTTTTTATTTCTTTTTATATATTTTGATATTGAATTATTTTTTTTGCCAAATAAATGGAAGATAAAAAATAGTCAACTTTTATTATATTCACTATATACATCATTTCTGGTATAAATTAATATTACCACAAAATATTACTGGTATATGACAAATCAAGGAAAATTGGTCCACCACATCAGATAGTTTGAGAAGCACTGTTTTAGACAATGTATGCATTTAGCACAAAAGAGGAAACATGCAATCATTGATTTTAAGCTGAATGCACAGATACTACACTGCTCTGAGGCAGAAGTGCTGGGTAGCAGCATTTTTTCCTAGTTAAGACATACAAATAAGTTTGATTCTAAACAGAGTGCACAGATACTGCAATGATCCTAGTCAGAAGTGCTGGGCAGCAGCATTTTGTTTCGAGTTAAAGCATACGAATAAGTCTGATTCTGAGTGCACAGATACAACACTGATCCCAGGCTGAAGTGCTGACCCATATGGAAATAATCCTGCCATTTTTGATAAGTACTATCAAAATATCATTATTAGTTTTTAGAGTAGCTCTTCTCAGTTTTAAATTAGGACATAATTTGTTTGGTTCTGAAATACAAAGAGATGCAGAAAATTCTCAGCTCAACCAAAACGGATCAAAGTATTCTGATGTTTGGTCATTTTGCCGGAATTTGGGAAGTAGATTTTCTATGAACTTTTCATCACCCGCTCATAAGGGCAACATTAACCATGTTACTCTCATTCTAAAATATAAAAGGGGTGGTTGGTATTGCTATTAAACTTCTGATCACTGTCACCATTAAGAGAATAGTAATAGTTTTTTCTTCTTCTTCAATGAGTGCAATTGGCAACTCTATTCCCTTCTCCTTTACTTGGGTCTGTTTTTTTTTCTTTTAGTTGTTGATTTGCTTTTCTATAGCTAAAGGGATCCAACTGTTTTGATATATACAAAGACCTGGGTGAAAAAATGGATTCATGCCTTAGTGTAAAGTTAATGCAAGCTGTTTTAACATAACTTTAAATAATCCTATTTTCCATGACAACAACCATTACATCTTCCTGCATCTAAATTTCAATAACATTTCATTAGTACTGGTATAATATTGTTATTATTGTAAAATATTTCTGTATATTTTTTATACAGTTTGTTGCTTAAATCATTGTTGTAAAAGCAAAAAGGACAAAGTTTCAATTGAGAAAATCATGAACATAAACCAAGAACAAAATGGTGGCAAGAAAAGAAGAGATAAAATTTGTTTTTATATAATTAGATGAATACTTCTACAAATATTTTTATTCAAAATAATTCAGCAGACAACATTATTTTACTTATTTTAAAATTTTCTAATGTTTGTATTATTAATAATAATAATAATTCAGCAAACTTACTATTTTTTTTTTACTTATTTAAATAATTTGGTGCAGTTTTGTTTTCATTTAAAATTTTCTAATTCTGTAAAAAGTTTAATATTTTTAAAAATTACTTATGTCTATATATAAAAATAATAAAAATATGTTATTTTTAGAAGCCATGATTATATTTATTTTACATTTTCTTATATGTAAACACTAGTAAATTGTCACTGGCTTATAACTGACTTTTGACATTTAATAGAAATTCTTTCTATAAAATGTGAGGAAAAAACTTTCTCAACAGCAACAGTGCTTATATATAGTAATTTTGAAAATTTGAATTAAAAATAAATAACACAGAAAAAATATTTATTAAAGATGCTTTTTTTTAAAACTCTTATACAAATTAAATGTTACCGCTTATGTTGATATTTCCATTTCTTAATATATATATATATATA